AGTGCTGGGATTACAGGCCTGAGCCACCGCGACCGGCCAATATTATTTCTTTAAAAAAAAAAAAAACTTAGCCGGGCGTGGTGGCCCATGACTTGGATGGCCGAGGTGGAACGATCGCTTGAACCCACCAGGTCGAGGCTGCAGTGGCCGTGAGCGTGCCTCTGCACTCCAACCTGGGTGACAGAGTAAGACTCCAACTCAACACAATAAAATAAAACTCCATCAAGGATGTTCATTAGGAGGGTGATGGTGATGGGGGTGTGGACTAGCCAATATGGAGTGCTATGTGGAAGATTCAAAGGCTCCCACTGTGAGGGGTTTTCCGTAGCCTCTCAAGGCAGGAAAACCCCATGAGGTCCCACTTTCTCCAAATACCATTCATAACCGCCCAGGCCCAGTGCCGGGCCCCGAGGGGCCGGAAAACATCCAGGGCATCTCCTCAGTCTAAAGACTTTAAATTTCTTGGAACAATAAGCTATGCAAGCTGCCCTTTATCCACCCTGTGGGAAACCGGGGCTTGTTCGCTTTCAGCAGCCTGACAGACGTGGGTCCCCTTGCAGAGTCAAAGGCTCCTCTCCGAAAGGCTGGTTCCTTTCTTTGACTGATAACTATGTAAATTCCCTCTCCCAGCCCGAGCGAGGCGCTGAGCAGACGCCCAGCTATTCAAAGCTGCGCTTCCAGCTCCGGTCCAGTGCTTCCATCATGAATGCTTGAATGAATGAGACGGCCGCGTTTCTGCAGAGTTCACAACTCAGCACAATGCCCAAACACACATTTTTCCCACGAGGGTATTTCGCATTCCGCCCACTGCTTTTGACCTGCATTTTTTTCTGAAAAATCAAGTTCCTATTTGAGGGAATACGCCCATTGTCATGTGTGGCATACACTAAGATGTTTGCAACAAATATTTGTGGCCGCCTAGCCAACAAGAAGCCGAGCTGGGCAGACTTAACTCCGTGGGTGGTGTGGGGGGCCGGAGTTGTCCGCCGAAAAGGCAAAGAAGGTCTCTTTCTCTCTCTTGGCGAGGATAGGAACTGGAAATCCGCCTCGAGTTTCTGTTCTCAATCCTTGCAACGAGCGTGCAAAGCGCTCCCTGCCTGGCCGGCTCCCTCGCCCCGCGGTGCCTACGGTCTCGACCCGCGCAGGGAAGGGGCCGGCTGGGCCACTCCGGGGACTGCACAAAGAGCGCGTTTTCGGAGGTCGCATCTGTGCCCCGGAGGCCGCCCGCGCGTCCCCCTGCCTAGGACAGCTAGCGGGGGGCGCGCTTCCCACCGCGACCTTTCCCCGCCAGCCCACCCGCACCCC